GTTGTGTTCAACGGGCGATGTACTGTAGTGCAGTTATATCACAGCGTGTCAGCTTAATGTGAGAGGAAAGTCCGATTTGATACAAGTCGTAGGCGCCTACTATTTCGATGAAACCCACGGGTACAGCAATGGTGCTGACAGGCCAGGAATATTAAAATCAAGGTGTATCTTGGATTCGAACCCATGGTAAGCGGATCCTGGCACGATTAAGGGAGGTAACTGAAGAGCGGGTTTTGACGCCTTAAACACTGCTTCCGACTAAGAAACTATGTAGAAATGGAGGGCGATTGGATATTCTGCGGATTTCTGACCTTAGGTTAATAAGATAAAGACGGTGGAGCATTCACGTTGAGTACTCGCTTTTCGGCTGGAACAATGCCGATGCGATGTTCAGTTTGAACTCATTCACTTTGAGTAACTGTCAGGTTCTTCAATCAATATATTTGTTTATTATCCATAAATTATGTCTACTTTGTCAACATATTTGTGAAAAGAAATCCAGATGAAATGATTCGTGTTTTTGAAGTATGATAGGATTTTTCTAGGAAATGGATTGTGTCCATATTAAGCTTAGATATAGTTTTGAAGCCATCATTTATTAATCCGGTGAATAGTCCTGAGTTATGTCCAGTGTGGTAACTGTACACGATGTAGAAGCGGACTGAAATAATAATGTATCTTAAATTAAAGCAACATTTTCTGAGTAAGAATGTATAATTTTGTGTAATTTTAGTGTACCCTTTCAAGGGCATATCCCCTTCAGTAGTCTAAGGTAGTAAGGGGCGGTCGGGTAGCCCAGTGGTTAAAGCGTTCGCTCGTCACGCCGAAGACCCGGGTTCGATTCCCGACATGGGTACAATGTGTGAAGCCAATTTCTGGTGTACCCCGCCGTGATATTGCTGGGATATTGCTAAAAGTGGCGTAAAACCATACTCACTCACTCACGCTAAACAATAATCAATCCAATTTCACATCTTATGAAGGATTAATCCTTGAGTCAGTCCCACACCATAATCTTAAAATTTATCAACACGGAATAACGGTTTTGGAATCTAGAATGTGTTGTCTGACAGTACCGAGCATTTGGGATAAATGAGTCCTCGTTTTCGTTTCATAATCATCATAAACAGTGGCTCAGACAGTACTATATACCTGGGCGGTTTTGCCAGTTATACACTACAGAGTGAGAAAATATTGCTAACGCCGCCTAACTGATGTATACAAGTATCATTATGTAATCGGTGGATAATACCAATGCCTGGAATGTCAACCACAGCGAAAACAGCTGAAACCCGTTTATCCGGACACTTGTGTTTTCTAAAATAGCGTCCGGATAAACGAGTGGACTCCATTGTTAACTGACGACAGTTACCTCCCCTACACAAAATACCGAGTACATTAAACAAACCCATGTGTATAACGCACAATTCAGTACGTTGTGTATCCAAAATCAACAAATCTGTACTTGATGTCTCACCATGACATTTTACGAGAAATATTTGTAGAGTTGAGTGTTGTTAGCCAACCCCTTGTTGGCCTAGTGGTTAAAGCCTTCGCTCGTCACGCCAAAGACCCGGGTTCGATTCCCTACATGGGTACAATGCGTGAAGCCCATTTCTGGTGTCCCCCGCCGTGATATTGCTGGAATGTTGCTAAAGGCGGCGTAAAACCATACTCACTCACTTGTAATCGCAGCCATATTGCAGCTGCTCGTGGCGATTGGCATCTGTTACACCATATACGGGAATGCCGTCGTCATGTTGGTTTCACAAATGTTGACACATTGTATATATGTTTAATCATGTTGACATGATCATCGTTCCATGGAATGAGTTAAAGAAAATTGTAAAACAACACAAACTGAATAATGAAACCGTCGAAAGTAATTCGAGACGAACTGAAACTACACGTAGGCGCTGACTGATATAGTTTGGAGATGCTTACATGTACGACGTGCCATTTTTCGTGTCTCTTCGTGATGCGGATCCTTACTGCATCTGTATACGTTTATGCCTCGCTATAGCGCCATGTGATCCTGGGCTGATCAGTGAAAGTTCATATTATCATAGCCTAAAAATCAAAACAAGACAATCGGTGTACCTTCCTTTTATCATGTATATACATCAAATCTGATTGTGCTCTTTCTGTGTGTGAACAATTGAAAAATAAAAAGAAATTTCAGACTTGTTTTTTTCTAGTTACTATGTACTACGTGAACTTATGTTCTTTGTTTAACGCCGCCCTTGGCAATATTCCAGCTATATTACGGCGGTCTGTAAATAATTGATTCTGGACCAGACAATCCAGTGATTGACATCCTGAGCATCGACCCACGCAATCGGGATCGAGTGAAGATTACGACGTTTGTAGCTTTTGTCTGTTTGTTTGTTGTTTAACCCCGAACTCAGCAGTATTCCAGCTATATGTCGGCGGTCTGTAAAAAATCTAGACTGGACCAGACAGTCCAGTGATTGATATCATCGATCCACGCATTTGAGATACGACGACATGCATCAACCAAGTCAGCGAGCCTGACCACCCGATCCCGTTAGTCGCCTCTTACGACAAGCATAGTCGCCTTTTACAGCAAGCATGTGTTGCTAGAGACCTTTTCTACCCCGGATCTTCACGGGTCGAACCAACAAATGAATTATGAAAAAAAATTACATGACCACACAAACACGTTATTGATGACACAAAAACAACGTCATCGAGCTTGACCACTTGATAGAGACTATTGTAATTAAGGCCGCACTCAGCAATAGTCCAGCTATATGGCGGCGGTCTGTAAATAATCGAGTCTGGACCAGACAATCCAATGATCGACATCATAATCATCGATGCACGCAATTGGGATCGATGACGTATATCAACCAAGTCAGTGACTTGCATCATTGTTTGTTTGTTTGTTGTTTAACGCCGCACTCAGCAATATTCCAGCTATCTGACGGCGGTCTGTAAATAATCGAGTCTGGATCAGACAATCCAGTGATCGACATCATAAGAATCGATGCACGCAATTTGGATAGGGTGACATGCATCATTGTTTGTTTGTTTGTTTGTTTAACGCCGCACTCAGCGATATTTCAGATATATGCTAGCTTTTTGACTGCGGCGTTAAACAACAAAGACACATTGTGTATATGAACTCAGAAGGTGATGGTAACGCTACCAACACAAGATGTAAATGTCATATCTTGCACTCTAGTTGCAACAAAATAACAATAAACATGTTTGCCTTTCACATGTCATCAAGTCATCTTTGGTTTTATACAGTCAAGTCCCGTTAATCCGACATTGTTGGTTGCATATGATTATGTCGGATTAACGAGTGTGTCGGATTAACGAGTGTGACGGATTAACGAGTGTGTCGGATTAACGAGTATGTCGGATAAACGAAATAAAGTAGCATCAACGCTCTTGATCGAAAATCGGACAACTACACGATAGATAACGATATAAACAATACAAAATACAAATGAAATATTCATATTGTACTTCGTTTCAACGTCGATAACCACATTGTAACAAATACATGTATCATGTTATATTGTTTTCAGTTATTCGTTCATCCATTTATTACATTCACTATACATGAAATTTATTTTTGTACTCACAAATAATTCAGTATCACGCCGTTCATGACTTTGTATATTACGATGATGTGATATGGGGTTTACGTCGCATTCAACATCACGGCACTGATATAGCGACATGGATGCACGTGTGTTTGTTTGTTTGTTGTTTGACGCGCCACAGCAATATTCCGTCGTCATGTAACTGGAATATTGCTGAGTGCGGCGTTAAACAACAAACGAACAAATCTGACCTGACTTACTTCGTATTGATTGATACCTACAGCGCGGATATATGGGCAATGTGTGGCAAACGATATTATTTTGTTCGTCACAATGAAAAGGAAGAGACAAGCTTCAGGGACTTGGTTGTATATTTTACGACCGCTTCAAAGTAATGCTCTGTTACAGAGATGGAAAATATGTGCCGTCATCGAACAGGTGAGGTGAAATTGGGTTTAACGTCGCGTCCACGATTATTGCACTTATATAGCGACGTGCATGCACGTGTGTGTGTGTGTGGCTGCTTGTACTAGTCCGGACTGATGCCGATTTATAGTGCTAGCCCACTGAGATATCATGCCGCAGTTTAACATGAATATCCCACTCAGACACAGTATACTGACTCCTTAATGCCGAGCGCCAGACAGGGTAACAACAAGTACCATCTTTTAACGTCTTTTGGTATGACGCGGCCGGGGATCCAACCCCGGACATTCCGCTCTCCGGGCGGACGCTCTACCACTAGACCACGGAGGCGGTCGTCAATAAATAAGAATAAAGTAATAAGAGAAAACGTGGTAAAAGTTTGTTTGTATTTCTTGTGTAACGCCGCACTTAGCAATATTCCAGCTCTGTGGCAGCGGTCTGTAAATAATCGAGTCTAGATCAGACAATCCAGTAATTGATATATTATGAGCATCGATCCACGCAATTTGGATAGATGACATGCATCAACCAAGTCAGCGAGCCTGACCACCCGATCCCGTCAGTCACCTCTGACAACAAGCATAGTCGCCTTTTACGGCAAGAATAGGTTGCTGAAGACCTATTCTATCCCGGATCATCACGGGTCCCACGCAGCTGGGATACGATGACATGCATCTACCAAGTCAGCGAGCCTGACCACCCGATCCCGTTAGTCGCCTCTTACGACAAGCATGTCCCCTCTAACGGCAAGCATGGGTTGCTGAAGACCTATTCTACCCCGGATCTTCATGGGTCGATGGACATTATGCCTTTGTAGAATGAATTCGCCATTTTAGTATATTCTTAATGCATGTCTGTACGTGGTAAGTTTTGTGGAAAGTTTCATCATAACTAAAAAGAAAGAAAAACACGGCCTGAAACAACAAGGTCAAAGAATCACATCGCGTTCATCTCACTTCTAAGGGAGATAACTGCTACCCGTAGAAAACATCGCACGTGCAGCTCATGGGAAACGTGATCTACGACGAGAAGGGAGGCATGTTAACAGGTTGACCAGGCCGAAGACCGCGAGAACGCGAGCCTTCAGCCGACACAGCCGTTAACTGGTAAGTATTCAAACCAGGTTGTTAATAATTTTCAGAGCTGTAATGAAATGTACGTCACAGTCTGTGTTTTAATGGACGTTCATCCACTCTTCTGCTTTCGAAGACGGAAACAAATATTAATTTAGTTCCCCCATTTCTTCTTATTTATTTATAGAATATATATCTGTTATCGAAATTACAACATTATTATTTATAATTTGTCCAACAGTTCTCAGCATTCGAGCATGTATCTGACGACACGTTTGCTGGTTAAGTATATGTTTTATTTGCAATTGGACCCAGTATAACGCAATGTTGCATTTAAAGCAGCCTGTGTTGACAGCCCACTGTCGTCGCGTGCGCTTTGTGAAAGGCCTTTGTGATTATGCATGTTTCGTTTCCGTATTGCCGCAAATTAGGCCTTCAAAACACGCCGGCGTGGAATTGACTGACGGCTGGCTACAACACTGTCCGAAAGTAGAAGCCTGTCCTCTGTTAGTGCAGAGTTGCAGAATTAGAAAAAAATTCAACCAGACCTCATAACTATGGTGGCCGAGAGGGGACATCGCTTTATCGCTCTCTCGCTTTCTCGTTCTATCGCTTTCTCGCGGTATAGCAATATTTCCTTTTGGCCACTATATGGGACGCATGTGTTATGTGTTTCTATACGATAAAAAGTATATACGTAAAACAACATTAATGAATTGTTAAACCTGACCTCAGTGGGCGGAGTCTGAGGTGGGTTTTAATCATAAAAGAGAGCTGAGATTTTTCCAGTCACATTTCAGATTATACATATGGATGGAATGTTGCCATTTTCTCACTATCTACTTAAACATAATTTAACAGTACAGACGTAGGGGCTTTTATAACAATCCACGGATTTCTGCGTACAAAAAGAATTTGATTGATTTATGGCGCTATTTAGGAGTTTTATTGGATCCCCCGCCACCAGGCCAAGTTATGAAAACAACAGCAAATAACACCGCTCATTAGCGCTGAGTAGTACGTACTTCCTTAATAACAATAGTGTTTTCCTAAAAAAACCACTCAGGTTATATCGATGTTTATTCTGTTGGCGGAGTAGATGTCATCAAAGTGGAAGTCCTCACCAAAGCAATGGTAATACTACCGGATGTCCATTATGTAATTTCTAGTTTTTGGATGACATATTGTTCTCAGTAACCGTAATGTGGAAGTAGATAGTTGATTGGTTTGCCGTCTTATCAACAGTCATTTCTGAGACATAAATGCAAAGTTTAATTAATTAAGTCTACTCTCATTTTTTGCATTTATGATTAACTCTAACGTTAATTTCAAGCTTTACAGAAGAGACTATTCAAAAGAAATTAAAGAACACCCGATTCCTTCATATGACTATGGTTAGTCATTCGAGAGAGCGATAGAGCGAGAAAGCGATATTTCCCATAATGCCGTATATTAAAACGGTTTTTGCTGATATTTAGTGAACCATTCCTGTAATTCTCACCGCTATTTCTGCCTCTTATAATTAGAATTTTTAAAATCCTTTTAGTAGATAAATATTTTGCAAATACATACATATTTTTTTCTCGATAAGTTTGTGAGTTTGTATATACACACATGTACACTTTCCTGTAGTATAGTAAATAAGCAAGATTCACAGACTACAACAGATTAGTCACTGTTCATATTTTCATTTTGTTCATAATAACCATATTTCATATTGTTATCAACTTTAACTATGTGACCACACTAATTATTATGGTTCTCCATATGTGTAATATACACAAGTACACATATCAACTGTGGTAAGGCCACGGTTATATCCCATTAGTTAGACGTCCCATTAGTTAGACGTCCCAATTGTTAGACAATTTTACCTAGGCTAAGAGGGATTATACCTACAGGTGTAATGGATCAGTCCTTATTAGATTAAAGTACTGAGTAGGGATAGGGGACTCACAGTTTAGGGAGTATATATGTTACAATTTCGTTTAATTAATCTAAACTACCTTACTCTCAGCACAGGTTCAATAGGCATGAGATTAACTATGTAAACTATGGAGTAGCTTAATTGTCTTACTGTATGATCAGTTGAAGGAGTTGAGTTGAGATTATCTAATCATCAAACAAATAAAAATGATCTTTGGGTACGTATCATTATCAGTATCGATGATGGCTGGTTTAAGGAAAGTAGAGTACATCACCTCTCGGCGTGGAAGTAAGCAGTTGATATCAGATGGATATATTTACAACAGAAACCGTGAGAGGCAAACACAGCCGACTGAACTACCTACTGCCACATGTTCACCCTAACATCTACAGATTCATTGAAGTCATCCAGAAAGTCGAGTTCAGTGAAAGGACTAAGGTGATGCAATTGAACTTTGGTGCGGCACCACGCTGCCGCAAGAGAATCTACAGAGAGACAGAGAACCGCCTGGTACGCCTCAAAGATCAGCTGCAGCAGGGTGACAAGTCTGCTATTGAGTATTTAGATGCTTGTGGACACTTCCTTCTTTAAAACTGTAAAAGTTATTAAATGTAAAGTTTACATTATCAAAAACTGTCAAAGTGTTGTTACAAACTGTATAAAATTTATCAAATGTAAAGTGTCATTAAATGTGAAGTATAATATTAAACTATCTATTTAAAGCTGCTTTGCTTTGTTTGTCAGATCTTATCTGGACTATTCCATTTTAAAGTCTGAGGTAACAAGCATAAGGATTAGTGTGCACTCAACCGTTTAAAGTGTTGTTATAAGCTGTCTAACTATTGGGACGTCTAACTAATGGGAGGACACCAAGGCCACAGCAATGGGGGCAATGGGGTAGCCCAGTGGTTAAAGCGTTCGCTCGTCAAGCCGAAGACCCAGTTCGATTCCCCACATGGGTACAATGTGTGAAGCCCATTTCTGGTGTTCCCCGCCGTGATATTACTGGATTATTGTTAAAAGCGACGTGAAACCATTCTCACTCACTCACAGCGGTGTTTATCAAATTACTATATGCAAGTACATATACTTGTAGATTTGCACAAGACAATAGACACAATTCAAGTTAAACATAAATCAAATGTAAAAAAGAATATTTACGGGCAACAGTATGACACACTGTAACATCATATACTACCGAAAACAAGTAACAGAACACCCACAATTATAAGATTGTATTTTTGCAAAACAATCAGCCATGACAAATTAACCATAGTCTTCTTAACGTCTTTTGAAAAGTATATATGTATATTTTAACCTGATTTATTTGGAGGGTATTGCCATGATCTGCCACGCGCTTTCGGCGTGATGGTCATATACAACTCAGTAGGGCCGTAAATCAATTAATTACATTTTACGCAAAATTCTGTGGATTGTTTTAAAATCACTTACGTCTGTACAGTTAAATTATGTTTTAAGTAAACAGTTCAACATTCCCTCCCAATTGCAGCAGATATCACAGGCGGCTCTTATAGCTTTGTGGTCAAGAAGGTATATTGCGTAACCGCGATAGAGCGAGAAAGCGAGGAAGCAATAGAGCGAGAAAGCGAGAAAGCGATGTCCCCTCTCGGCCACCATACATAACTGGCTGCTTGAAAATCTTGCCAGTGTTGTCAAAAGTCGCCCGTCCTTCGTGAAATTAGCCCGAAACGGTGTGTGTGGTGGTGGTAGTGGTGGTGGTGGTGGTGGTCGTCCCTTTGAATTCGTTATAACCGTAGTTTACTGTATTTCATATAATTACTGAACTTAACCGATCCGATTTTTATTCATATGCCGTTCGGAGTTGTCATTAAATACATCCAGTCGTTCCAAAAGGCAGAGTTTTGTCCCCGCAGGCAATACTGGTATATGTTTGTAATATGGAACGGTTGATTTAATCTATAAAGAAAACTCTTAACAGCTAATTCTTGGAATGATTGCATGAGCGATGTAAACCTTAACCATCAAGGTTAGAATTGCGGTTACCCGAGTCTGAAGTTCCGCCCCTTTCACAAAGCAACCGCAGCCCGATTTTAATTTGGTGTGTTGCAATCTTAAGGCTGTATGACATAGCGTGCTGAATCCATTACTCGATATGCTGTTATAACTACTTTCCATCTTTTAATTTTTGGCGTGATTTCTATTACAATTTGTTTATGCTGATTTTTAGTCCGGGTGTTACTACATGTACTTTGAACGACACAACATATACATTCACAATGGACAACAGATATCGACTCAATCTTACATATATTTCCTCACACCCTTATATTATACTATAAAAGGGGGGCACAGTCGTCTAAGGCATTGGACACGCCAGCAACCTATGATTGTGGGCTCGAATCCAGGTTCGCCCCGATTATGTTTCTAGGTTTGTCAGCACCATACCCGTGCTCGTTTACTGAAGTGGTAAACGTCTAAGACCTGCATCACATCGGGCTTTCCTCCCACATTAAGCTGACACGCCGCGATATAACTGGAACACTCTTCAAAGCGGCGTTAAACATAACTCACTCACACTCACTGAGATACCAATGCAAGCATATGTTTCCCAATCGGGAAATTGCCATTCGGTTAAATGCTACTAAATATGCATTTAGCATTTAAGTAGTGAGACGGCTTTCGGGGTTACAATAGGTCCTGTCATTATACTGGAAATGCATTTATCGTCTTCATAATGTCAGCTATAGGGACGAGACTCTAATCTGGTATGAGCTTTCAGTGGGCATGTGGAGGTAATGGGATGAACACTGGAAACACATGGCGGTATACTATGTAATAATTACAAGGGCCGTCTAGACATGTGGTAAATGCGTTGTTTCCTTTTTCATTTATTTGCAAACTCTTTCAAATTTTAAAATGTCATCAATTAGATCAGTATTGATTAGCAGATTTTCCCAGACAGATTGAAAGTTAATCTTAGTGTTCTCAGTGTGTGACTGATATATGGCTTAGAAATCAAAACGACCTTTGAAGATCTGGGCTAGAATAGATCTTCAGCAACCGCAACTTCAGCTTGCCGTAAAAGGCGACTATGCTTGTCGTAAGAGGCGACTAACGGGATCGGGTGGTCGGGCTCGCTGACTTGGTTGATGCTTGTCATCGTATCCCTATTGCGTGGATCGATGCTCATGATATCAATCACTGGATTGTCTGGTCCAAACTCGGTTATTTACAGACCGCTGTCTTATAGCTGTAATATTGCTGAGTGCGGCGTTAAACATAAACGAACAAAGCAATCAAAACTGTATATCAATTTTTTAACTTATCCTATTTCACAATGTCCATTTCTTTTTTCTTCTGCGATCCCGTGTAAGGGTGCTTGAACAGTTTCCAGGCTCTAAAAAAACATTTCACACGAACACTTTCCAGCAACAATGTGGCAGGGGTAATCACGAGATCAGTGAGTGAGTGAGTTAAGTTTAGCGTCACATGACGGCAATATTTCAGCCATATCGTGACGAGACAAAATTTGACATTAATAACATATATTTAAACTGTCTAAAAGTCTGTCGCAGAAGGACAGTATAATAACTAGAATATCACAGATTTACGTACAACTAGTTTGAGAGCATGTAAAAATAGATAACTAACTTACCATTCAACAAGACAATATAAAAACGGACTATAGATCGCCACCAACTGAAGGTAGATCACAATGCTGGGGTCAATGGGGACTTACAGTACTTTTGCTACCTGCATGGACCCCAGCCGGATTTAAATCATCCCTTCAGTTGTTAGCGATGGCTGACAAATTTAGCCAAACATTAAAATAACACTATTATTGCAATATGCTACTATTAAAAACGTAGAAATAAATATACTTTGAAAGACGTGGTCTTGCATACCGTCTCAGGGGGACAATATTTTAACACTTCTTTAACCCCCTTCGATGATATAGCCAGTAACAATCTCAGTTACTGATTTATTCGATCAATTATAAAAGTGAATTTATTTATTTCCGAAACATAGCAATCAAAATTTAGGAAATCAATTCTATTTCCTTTAAAAACACAAAATTAATGGGTACTTACCTGGTTAAAAAGATCCTTCATAGCTGAAACTTTGAAATACTTATCCCTTGTGATGGAAAAATCAATGCAGTCATGTGTTCGGGTGAATTGTTTTTTTGAGGCTTGAAACTCTGTTCAAGCACGTTTCCACATAGTGTCGAAGAAAGAAAAAAGTCATAGTGTGAGATAGGATATGTATATAAATATACAATTTATTATAAAAAAATCATTATCATATTCAATGATATATACAATATGTTCATAGCAGTTTTAAGGAATATGACTGTGGTTAAATACAAATAATTAGTTTAGCTAATTTGTGTTTGTTTTTAATGCAGCTTGTTAGGTGAGCATCTGTGACTGTGGTATTCTTGTTAATTGTGATGAGTAATGTATATATTTCTCTACTTTTAGGCGTGGAACAAATTTGTGACATCCTCATCATCACTGACAATCTTTCCACGATGGATTCAGAATCTTTCAAAAGTGTGATTGTCTGTGGACAGTGTGGAGAATGGTTTGGAGATACGTTATCCCAAGTCCAGCACATGACCACGCACACCTTCACAACGACAGCAAGCAGCTCAGTTGGGACCAAGATGGCCCTGGACTTCTTGCAGAGATGCGACAGAGATGCCTCTCGACAGAGTGAGTATGACCATGCTGATGCTGCAGATGAATTCTCCTTTGATAAGGGTAGCCTGACTGCAGATGACACTTCATCTAATAAAGAGAATGAGACTGAAGCTGACAACCAGGCTGCGCCCCCTCATCAGAGGGACAGACTGCATATTTATGGAGAATGGGGAGAATCTCTTGATGATTACATACATTGTGATACTCACTGGAAGCAGGTTCATTCTGAAAATGACTACACTCCTTCTTCAGCTCGAGAACATGAAATGGACAAAATGCCATGTTCAGCTCGAGAACATGAAATGGACAAAATGGGTAGCCATTGGTCACATTTATGTAGAGATGGGGCATGTGACTCTATTCACTTTGAGCAGCCTCATGAGAACTGCGAGGACCTGAGCGGATCTGAAATGGGGATGCAAGAACATTCAAGAGTTCTGTGCTCAGGCACAGCTGAGGATTCTCAGGATGCAGAGTCGGAGTCATCAGATGTGGAACATGCGTGTAATGAAGGCATGTGTACAATTGAACACCCGTCTGATGCCACACCATGTGAAGTGGAGGCCATGAGTCCTGTAAAAAGATCCTCAGGTGCAAATGGGGATGAATCAATAGCTAGTACAAAATGCAAGATAGATTGTGATACACTAGGAAGTATTGTATATGAATCTAAATTCTACGAGTCAAATAGTAGAGATGAAAACACCGGAAAAGGAAATGCATCAAATATTAAACAGAATGTTCGTCAGGGCAAGATGAAAGTGTATTTGAATACAGAGCTTGGCAAGAGAAAATATGGTAGAGGGGAGGGGAGTAGTTACTGCGCAGGCAGTATGAATAGAAATGGATCTCTGTGGGATGATGGCTCTAGGACAAATCACACACGAAGTAGCAGTGTGACTGAGACTGTGAGGTCTGTGAATGCAGGGAGCCGCCCTGAGCCTTCCATGGAAGATTGTCTTGGAGTAAAAGACTTGAACCGTATTACAATGCAAGATGGGCATGTTGAACATTCAGCAGACATTCAGGCTGTGATGGTACTTGATAATCAAGGCAGGAAGTACCCTCCTGATAAAATGCCTGGAACTCGGTCACGTTCTTTCTATCAGGATACCTTAGAGCAGTCTGAGGGATTCAGGAGGACTTCAGATACTGCCTCAAGCACAGTGGACATTTCACAATACCAAACCGTGACAGACACGCAGAACTTAAGCCACAGTTTAATGGTTGGTTTTAATTCTTCTTCTGGTGCAGAGTCAATGTCCAATACACATTTTGCAACTGATATGAATCACAACAAAAAGTCATTTCCGGGACAATTTATAGAAAGTAGAAATCAATTCTCTGATGAGCATGAAAGAACTTCAAGCCCAAGAAAATGTAAGAACAGAGACAACAACCTTGATAATTTATCATTTATCTTAAAAAAGAACAAAAATTGCAAAAGTTACAGTATTCATAAGGCGCAATTTATGGAGGAGACTCGCACAGGACTACCTTTGTCTGAAAACAGAGAACAGCAGTATGGTTACGACATTAATGAAACAAAAGACTATAACCTTAAAAGACACGTTTCTGACTCTTCATTATTGTTTGAGAACAAACACAGTGATTTCATTTACAGCAGCGTGAAACTGTCCAACCATTTGAACCATCAGAACTACCTGCCTATTGAGCAGCATTCTCCAGAAGGGACAAGATCAGGTAACAGTTGTACAACACAGTCTCTCAGTGGAGTGTTGAACCACAGGTGTAGCGTTTGTGGGGAGAGGTTTGAAGATGCTCGGGATCTACAGAAACACCTGATCTCTCACACACAACAGTGTAATGTTTGTGGTGAAGGTTTTGTCGAGTTGGAAAATCTCAATGCACATTTAGACATGCATCCGAAGGATGCTGATGAAGACAATGGGGATGAAGGCAAGGATGAGGAGGATCTTCAGCATCAGTTGTCAGGTGATGTAGATGCAACTGACCATGCAATCAAACACCGTGAACTTGATTATGATCAGGGATGTGCTGTAAAGGATCCACCGAAAAAGAGTTACAGGTGTGAAATATGCTCAAAATTATTTGTTGCTAAACAGACTCTTCGTATTCATATGAATATTCATCTTGGCAGACGATCAACATGTCCTGTGTGCAAGCAGACATTCTCTACAAAGTGGTCTCAGAAGAGACATGCTGACAAGTACCATAATAAAGTGAAAGTTTGTGAAAAGTCTTTTTCGTCACCAAATAGTTTAAATATTTATAAAGCTAGTAAAGACTTTATTCAACAAGACGACGATAATTCTTTTACGTGTGAGGTGTGTAAACGGGCGTTTTTGTCAATAAAGAGCCTCAACAACCATTCTAGGACACACCGAAATAGGGTGGAGGAACTGCAGCAGTATATGAAGACCTTCAGATGCAAGGAATGTGGTCAGATGTACTGCAGACAAGAGAGCTTAATCGCTCACATGAATGTACATGGTGACAAGTACATGCATTCTTGTGAGTCGTGTTTTGTTGGATTTTCTACCCTCATGGAGTTGGACTCTCACATGCAACAACACAACAATGTAGACGAAACGTTAAACATTTGCTCCATTTGTGGAAGAGGATTTGATCTTCATACAACGTTGATACAGCATGTGCAACAGTGCAGGAGCTCCCAACAGGATACACGTCGAGAACTGAATCCACCCGTTTGTGGTATGGTATTTGAAGATATTAAGGTGATGGAGAGCGACAAAGAAAAAAAGTTTCAGTGTCCTGTTTGCAGTAAAAAGTACTTGAGAAGGAAATCTTTGAGACATCATATGAAGATGAAAAAACACTTAGCCTCCGAGCGATTGTTTGGAAGTGGCTGTCATTAAAGCTGTGTTGAAGCCAGTCTCTGGTCTTTAGAAACCTTCTATTAATATACATGATGCTGTCTAGCACTGAAATAATGCAGTGTGTGTATATCTCTTGGGAGTCATGGGCCTTTCAGATTTTCTTCTTTTTGCATATTTGTTAAATATACAAATGTGAAAAGTATGTTTTTCACTTGAATGTTTTTCATTTTGTTAAGGTTTAGGCTCACCTTGTTATTTTGTCCATATTTTTTTTGAGTTAATATTTAAAGTTAATTAGTTGTAGGAGGTTGACAGAACTTGATTTGTAAAATCACAGCACACGGATTTATCTGAGATTCCATACTAGGTGCCCTGGGCAGATAAATGGGGAAAAACTGTTAAAAACTGTTGTTTTTTTAACTTACTAATTTTCATACGTTTTGGGGAATTTAGACATTTTAAATTATTTTTTTCAATTTGTGCTCTCATTTATTGCAACTTGGAACTAAACATTGGCCTCTGAGGAGGTCACTGCATGTCCTGTGTGCTGGTTACTGATTCCTGCCTACTGTAGTTGTTTTTCTCAAAACGAAATAATTACAATTACCATGAATATATTCAACAATTTATTGAAGTGTGTTTGCCCTTCTGTAATAAAAAGTGCCAAAAATGTTTGAAAACAGATCTGAAATGCTCTCTTTGAATTTCAACATACAGTTATGGAATTTGACCCACCAAAAAAGTTGCAAAAACAAGAGGTCACTCTGACATATCACTCAAGACCTAGTTTGAATTCCTTAGATGGTGGTAAACCCCATTTTTGGTGTCCACAATGAACATAAAGATGTAAAAAACAAACTGCTTTACTTATGTAGCAGACCCGTGACGACCCGGGGTGGAATATGTCTTCAGCAACCCATGCCTGTCGTAAAAGGCGACTATGGGGATCTGATGGACAGGCTCGCTGACTTGGTTGATGTATGTCATCGTATCCCAATTGCGTGGATCCATGCTCATAATGTCAATCACTGGTTTGTCTGGTCCAGACTCGATTTATGCCCAGTCGTCTAAGGCGCCGCGATTCGCCGTGCAGAGTTGCACGCGCGAAACCTATGATTGTGGGTTCGAATCCCCGTTCGCTGCGTTTGTTTCTAGGTTTGTCAGCACCATACCCGTGCTCGTGGGTTTCACCGAAGTGGTAAACGTTTGAGACCTGCATCACATCGAGCTTTCCTCCCACATTAAGCTAACACGCCTTGATATAACTGGTATACTGTTAAAAGTGGCGTTAAACCCAACTCACTCACTCTCAGTAGATGATTGTTTCAACTTGATGATTGGGCCTCCCAACAGCTATGACCTAGATAACTTGTAATGTTTAGGTGAGTGAGTATGGCTTTACGCTACTTTTAGCAATATTCCAGCAATATTATGACTGGGGACACCAGAAATGGGCTTCACACATTGTACCCATGTGGGGAATCGAACCAGGGTCTTCGGCGTCACGAGCGAACGCTTTAACCACTAGGCTACCCCACCGCCCCTGTAATGGTTTGGTAGTTTTTTTAGTTGACAGTCAGTCTCGGTTTTATCCATTCTTATGCATAGATTGAATAAAGTTGAGCCTCTGTACTTTTGGTATTTTGAGGTTTGCAGTAATTATTCATTGTGATGAAATCTATTTGTACTATTGAATTATTCTTTTTTTGCATCGGTATAGAGGGACCAAGTATTTACTTATTTATTTACATGTTACAATGAAAACAAGTAGACTCTTTCAAAAACATATATCAGTAACTCAGTAATATTATTTATTTTGAGTTGTTTACACATATTTATTAAGTTGTCAATAAACTATTGCTATTACATCTAGATGTGTTTGATTCCTTACTAAATTCTAGTGACATCATCCTCGATTATCCAGTTTAAGACCCATTCTCTGTCAGTTTCGTTTGAGTCGAACAGCACAAGGCTAAAAATACCCAGCCAGTCATATGAAACTAACGAGCGAGAGTAATTCCGTGCTAAGTTAAAGAGCAGCGATGGAGGTGGTGACATCAATGCCGAAACGAAGCTATGGTGGGGAATGGGGGTCTCTCTCTCTCTCTCTCTCTCTCTCTCTCCCAAACACTCACTCACCCACCCACTCACCGACTCACCAACCCACTCACTCACTCCCTCACTCACCCACCCACCCACTCACTCACTCACTCACTCACTCACTCACTCACTCACTCACTCACTCACTCACTCGCCCACCCACCCACTCACCCACTCACTCACTCACCCACCCACCTGCTCACCCACTCACTCACTCACTCACTCACCAACTCACCCACTCACCCACCCACTCACTCACCCACCCACATGCTTTCCGTCGCTATATAAGTGCAATCATATTGAAAGGGACATTAAACCCCATTTCAACTCACCACATCATAGAGGTCTAGAAATCATCAAATGTTCACGAAAACAAAGCTGACATCGTTTAAATACCAAATGTAATCGGAATACGCGATGGTGTTTTTTTCTTGGTTTGTTAGGACCATACCCGTGCTCATGGGTTTCACCAAAGTTGTAAACGTCTAAGACATGCATCCCTTCCGGCTTTCCTTACACATTAATCAGGCACGCCGCGATATAACTATAATACTGTTCAAAGCGGCGTAAACGCCGATAACGCTGTGTGTAAGCTGGCAAGTTCTGTCGCTACACAGCCGTCATGGCAAGAAACTTATGGACATAATTACGTCCACACATTAACATATAGTTAATACATAGCTGACTAGGGCGTATTAGCTATGCATAAATATAATACTCTACCATATGCCCCAGAAGGTACCGTAGTCATATTGGGGATAAGGATTTTAAGGAGATTAATAAGCATTAAGAACAACAATGAGATTTGCGGGGGTTGGTTTGACTTAGTCTAACAATAAACAGATTGGAATGTTAACAAACATAGAGTTGGGTTTAACGCCGCTTTTAACAGTGTTCCAGTTATATCACGGCGTGTCCGCTTAATGTGGGAGGAAAGCCCGAAGTTATGCAGGCCTCAGACGTTTACCACTTCGGTGAAACCCACGAGTACGGATATTGTGCTGATAAACCCAGAAACATATTCGGGGAGAACCGAGATTCGAACCCACAATCATAGGTTTCTGGTTTGTGCCCAAGGGACGCAACTCTGCACAGCGAATCGTGGCGCCTTAGACGAAAGGGCCACCCGTGCCCCCCACAATACACAGATTGGATTGAGCAGAGCGGAGGACCAAATTAGTTAACAAACATTCCAAATTTTTAAAGAAAACACATATATGTCTAAGAGTGAAATATTTATTATTTTCAGGAAAACAAACTATTTTACAACATAAACTACTAATTCAGAATCAACATGGAAAGGATCTCTGTAGCCCTGCACACAGATGCTACCATACCGCCAGCATCAGCAGCCTCTCATCGTTTACTTCTGGTTCAGAAATTTGTCGAAAATGAAATAAGTTTGAGAGGGGCTCATATAACATATGCACTATTAAGTGATTTCATTGTTTGAATCATGATTCACGGGGGCAACTCAGATATTCCACGAAATGCGAAAATCCGAAACTCCAAAACGAAAGTAAGAAATGTAATGACAGATTTTCGTGTTCAAAACATTTGCTTCGAAACATATATAAGAACACCCGCAGTATTGTGGCAAATGAAACCAAGGAATATGGAAACAGGGTAATTTGATTTTCCCGAATTGCTCGAAGTATCTGTAAACCTTATGAAAGCACCCACATACGTACTATCTTTATCTATAATTAATAAAAAAACGGAAAATAAGGTACAATTTCATAAATCAAATTTGAACTGAAATGTTCAAATTCTAACAGACACCACATATATAGTATTTTACTACACAAATTCTGTGAAACTATACTCAGCTCATGGACACTTTCTCGAAAAGAAATAGGGCAGTGAACTAAATTTCAAAATTGATGCATTTGCTGAAATCTGTCCATCTCTTCATCAGATTCGGAGTCAGATTCCGCTAGAGCCGCCCCGAGGCCTCTGGTTAACAAGATCCACCTTCTCCTCTTCTCCCATATTGGTACCTCAGCCATTCGCTCGTCCTGCTTCTTTTTGAGAATATCCAGCTTTTCATAAAACGTCCGAAGCCTCATTTCAATCGGGGGTTTCTTGATGGGCACAAGTGGGGGACAAATTAGCTCTTCTTCTACAGGAGACGTAACAGAATGACGAAAGTCTTTGGGTTTGATCGGAACTAGTTCGGGGATTGTTTGGGATATTCCTGGAGCGGGGCCTTCGAAGAGATCACAAGGACGATGCCGACTTGAAAGATTGCCCAGGCGTTCAATCGTATGGAAGCCACTTCCCCGTGGGCGCGCCCATCTTTCCGCAACTAGGTGTGGATCACAGTCGTCTGTGGCTACTGACAATAATCGGGAAATCTTTTTGCTGAAGGAGTGTTCTGGATCATAGTTTTTATCGATATCATCTTCCAGTTCCTCAACCTGTTTGTCACGAAGCCTCTTCAGGAAAATCTCGGCTCTGTCGTGGTTGTTCAAGGTAGGTTTACGGGCCTGGAGAAGCTTGATTTGAGCTTTAGTGAATTTGGGCACAAAGGGTTTCTTCCCATTGCTGCTCTCTGCTTGTTCGTCCTCGGAGCTGCTGTGTGCGGACGGGGCGGTGTGAGCTTTTCGCAGTCTCCGTCTAAACACGCAAGGGCCTTTGACCATGCCTTGAATAAGTCTGTGAAAACAAAATAGTTACGTTTGTAAAGTACATATTTCTGTAGGACATGGTGGTCCGGTCACACATTCGCTGTGCAGAGTAAAGCAGGCTTACCAGACACCTATGATCGTGGGTTTGAATCCCAGTCGTCCTGATTATGTTTCTGGGTTTGTCAGCACCAACTCGTGCTCGTGGGTTTCACTGAAGTCGTACTCGTTTAGGACATACGTTACTTCGGTCTTTCCTCCCACATAACAATTATAGGTCGTGATATTGAACTGAAATACTGTTCAAGTATTTAAACAGCTCACTCACCTACCCCATATTGCAATAATGTGCAATTTGATATGCAATCCTTTATGTGTTTCGGGGGCACGGTTGGCCCAGTCGCCTAAGGCGTCGCGATTCGCTGTGCAGAGTTGTGTCCCTTGGGCACGCCAGAAACCTATTATAGGGGTTCGAATTCGATTCTCCCCGATTAAGTTTCTAGGTTTGTGTGCACCATACCCGTGCTCGTGGGTTTCACCGAAGTGGTAAACGTCTGAGGCCTGCATCACTTCGGGCTTTCCTCCCACAATAAGCTGACACGCCGTGATATAACTGGACTACTGTTAAAAGCGGCGTTAAACCCAACTCACTCACTCACTTTATGTGTTTCGTAAGAGGTGACCCATTGTGAATTCCAGGCTGAAAATGTCCCCAGTACCTCGTGTTCATCGTAATACCCAAATAAAAGGTGAGCTGAGGTGAAATGTGTTTTAACGTCGCGTGCAAGTTCATTGCACTTATATAACGACATCTCATGCACGGGTATGTGTGGCTGTTTGAACTAGTCCGGATTAATGCCGATTTTATAGTGCTAGCCCACTGATTATACCATGCCGCAGTGTAACATGAGTACACCACTCAGACACATTATACTGACTTCGGTCGACCAGTTCTTGACCCAGACAGGGTAACAAAACAGTACCATCTTTCAACGTCTTTTTGTATGACGCGACAGAGGATCGAACACCGACCTTCTGCTCTCCGGGCAGACGCTCTATCACTAGACCACGGAGGCGGTCCAAATAAAATGGAGAACGAATGGTCACAATGACTACGTTGTCATCTGGCTGATTTTGTACCAACGTACACCGATTGCGATTGGGGATTGTTTCCTTCTCTATTCTTATTATTGGCTTCAACACACATTCAAGCACTCATTGTGATATTTGGACACAAACTTTGAAGATCGATGAAATGTTAAAATTTAAGGGGGTCTGCATCATTATTGCTCCAAATCCATATTAATCGATTACCATGACATGCTGAATAATATGTATAATAAACTCATTCAAGTACTGCGGTAGTTACAAGTGATAGAGTGTTGCTTTCACCTACTCGACCGTTTCCATTTACAAAATGTCTCGCTTTTGTATTCATAGAAAGAGTTTAATAGTGGACACAAAACTTTGAATAGGTACAGTCAACACCCTATTAATCACAAAAGGAATCCTGTATACATCAGTTACATAAATCAAGTCTCTCATTAACAATAGTGGTGATTAAAACGGCTCTTTGATTTAAATTTTGATAATTATTGTTATGCGCTATCCTCTATCCAACTTCATTATTAACGGAATTGAAAGTACCATTATTCATAGGATTCCTCATCATACATAATCTTACTCTGTATACGCTGGGACTTGGTTGGATTCACATAACTGCAACTGTTTTAAGAAGCCGTATGTGTCGATTTTGTCCTTGTCCAGAAGCTCCATGAGAAACTTCTTCTCTCGATCAAAGCTGGCCAGCTGCTTTCTCAGCTTCAGCCCGGCCAGGTTGTTCCTGTTGTTCAGCTCCCGGAACGCTCTGTTGAAGGGGCCGCGTGAAGACGACACTTCCATGGTGAAACAGTGGTAATAAGATAGGAGAAATACCACAACCCTGCATAACACCTCGTTGGTGCTAAAATAGTTCCATTACTCCGTTGGACACTCAGATGCTGGTTGTTTGAGTAAGTATTGCTTTAAACGAAAAGCGATCACATAGTTCTTATGTCATGTCCGTCCAAGTCATTTTCTCTGTGTCATTAGGCGTCTCCTAAGTGGTGGAGACGGTCTGTTTTGATGTTTAAGATTTCGGCAGACGGAAACCCTGCCTATGTTTGGAGACGACCAATCAAAACCGTTTCACTGTTACTAGCCTAACATTCAGAAGGTCATAACAAACCTTGTGTCATGCAAAGTCGGGATATACATGCACAAATGATCCAGGTTCAAACAATACATAAAGACTCTAATCGCATTACTCCTGATATAGCGCCATTATGAGGAGCAATGGTTTGTCTGTGATATGTAACACATAGGCTGCGTGTATAAGTGTATTAATGGCTTATCGGGATTACGTACGCTGCTCACTAGAGTCGGAACGATTGTTGATTATCGGATTGCATCATCGCTTATGAATCGTTGAGGATAAACGTAGTTCCATATTATGTGGTGGGCCATGACCTACAGACATATTCATGACTCACTTGTGTATATACGTACTTGTTCTCGTCGCTATATCGGTGACATAATGCCGATGCAACGTTAGATTTTAACTCACTCACTCACCTAAAGACATTACACTAACATTGCGCTTACTGAATCCCACTTCAGCAACCCCTTGGGCATTGCTGGCTAGAACTGGTCCCTAGAAAGAGATAACGTATTGGATGTGTGGGCAGGCTGTCATCGTTCAATGACGGAGGGGAATGTTGCTGACAATATCAACCACCGGGATGCCTGGTGTAGACGTGTTTATGTACAGACCCCCGTTATACAGCTGGGATATTCCAGGCTGCGGCGCTAAACAGCCGAACAACCAAACAAAGAAAAAACCCGCAAAAAAACAAACCACTTCTCCGTCCGTTTGTTGCTTCAGTTTCCTACGTGCACTTGTCAAATTGCCTTTGTCTTGTGTGTGAAACACTGGTGCTCCCCTTGACCAAGGGGACACGGGTGGCCCAGTCGTCTAAGGCGCCGCGATTCGCTGTGCAGAGTTGCGTCCCCTGGACACGCCAGAAACCTATGATTGTGGGTTCGAATCCCGGTTCACCCCGATTATGTTTCTAGGTTTTTCAGCACCATACCCGTGCTCGTGGGTTTCACCGAAGTGGTAAACGTCTGAGACATGCATCACTTCGGGCTTTCCTCCCACATTAAGCTGACACGCCGTGATATAACTGGAATAATGTTAAAAGCGGCGTTAAACCCAACTCACTCACTCACTATTCAAATATAAACCATAAATATTGTGCGCTGCCTCCTACCAATTTGGATCACAGCTTTCAAATCATCATGGATGCTGTCGAAGCATATTCTAAAACATGAGTCAAAAGAGAAGAGGAACTTATTGAGTGGCTTTCAATGTTGGTCACGTCTGGGCGTGATGTTGCAATTGGTGAGATGCATCACTGAAAAGAGGGAACAGAATTGGAATAATCCCATTCGTCCCAGCTAGCTGCCACCCAGAGTCTGACTTCCCTACAAACCACTATCCACATGATTGTTTAACAAGAGGGATGTCTTCAACTTTCCAATAGTCAACTTTCCCAAATGTCAACCGATATTAGTGCAGCTCCAGCGTTTGGTGTCTACATTTCACAACATTTTAGATACAATGGTCTTTCTATGAAGATTTCAACGGGAGTAAGCTGACACGCCGTGATATAACTGGAATAATGTTAAAAGCGGCGTTAAACCCAACTCACTCACTCACCCCTTGACCAAATCACAGGACGTGCATGTTGTATCATCTCCCTAATTTACGAAGTTGATACGGACTAGTCTAAGCGGGCCAAATGGCTTGCTACGCTAGTTTTAGTCCATTATGCCAAACACTATTTAAAAGTATATGCCAAACACTATTTAAGGGTCTTCTAACTCACATTTTATGAAATACACAGATGGCCTCACGGTTACAATTTCACACAGTAAAAACAACGTCTAGATTGAGGATGCTAGATTCAGACGGGACGGAGACGCCCGGTCCTTAACGTTTTTTGAGTAGTATACTAAGAAGTAGGATAAATGTGTTTCTTCAAGCAGATAACTTTTATGAATTTTCAGGAAAGCTGTGAAATCTTATAGAATTATTATGCCGAATATCAAAGTTGTACTGATGTGAGGTGCGAGGTGAAATGGGATTTAACGTCGCGTCCAAGATTATTGCACTTACACAGCGACGTGTGTGTGTGTGTGTGTGTGGCTGCTTGTCCTAGTCCGGACTGATGTCGAGTTGTAGTACGCAGGTGTTCGCGAAAAGGGTTAATCGAGACTGGTTATTCTCAGGCGTTGATGTTTGATGTTTCCTTGGTTCCTGGAACTTAACTGAGGGGCAAAAGAAAGTATACCTAGTTTGTTTTTATGTAATTGAAAATTCAAAAATTGTTGTTAAATTTGATTATGTCTTTTTAACCATCACTCATTCCTGCAACAGTTTATAAAAAGTAATCTGTGGCTGGTTAATTGTTTCTATACATATACTGGTTCAATGAAGCCATGGGTTAGAAATGAATTTGCAACGTCACCGCATGATCCCTATAATGTTTGAAATGTGGTAAAACTACCGAAAAAAGCAAATTTATTGATTTTCAAAGATAAGATGACTAATATACCCACCAGCTGTTATGTACTATGCGAAATATCAATTTTTAAAATGTTTTTAACTTAATAATATGTTTAAAAAAATAAAACCTTGTAGAAGTATACTGACTAAGCGCCAGTACAGGTTATGGATATAATATCCCTAACTTAAGATATTTTCAATTGAAAATCAAACATATAGTAGAATCAACTGAAAGGTATAGTTTCTTTTGCCCATGAGTTTATATAATTCTTCAGCGATGCGCGCTTGTCAGTGATGCACAGGAACAGGAGCCTTATGTTCTGGTGTCATCTGCAGCCGGGGGGCACGGGTGGCCCAGTCGCCTAAGGCGCCGCGATTCGCTGTGCAGAGTTGCGTCCCTTGGGCACGCCAGAAACCTATGATTGTGGGTTCGAATCCCGGTTCGCCCCGATTATGTTTCTAGGTTTGTCAGCACCATACCCGTGCTCGTGGGTTTCACCGAACTGGTAAACATCTGAGACCTGCATCACTTCGGGCTTTCCTCCCACATTAAGCTGACACGCCGTGATATAACTGGAATACTGTTAAAAGCGGCGTTAAACCAAACTCACTCACTCACTCATCTGCAGCCGGTATATTTTTCATTTCCGTTCACTCTTCGGGATCAACGGATTCCAGGCTGCGTCTTTATTGTATTTCCAGCTTCCACGGCGTTGTTGGTGTAATAGATGAAACTCATGTACAGATTATTGTCTGTTATTTGTTTGAATATTTTTTTATATTTACCTGACATTTTTCCAACCTTGATTTGGAAACACATGTATGTCGATTGTTGAAAGGCTGTGGGTGGGCATAGCCATAATCTGATAGGTCAAAAATCAGGATTATCTATGCCATCGTTGGGTCACAGCTCTGTCATTTATAGAAAAAAGCTTTTCTGTCTCAATATGTTACATATTTTACAACAATGTATTTTTATAAATCTGTCTATATGTGACTTTGTCAGTTATTACCGTGGGGTATGAATCTAATGTCTGTCACGACAGAGCTATTGTATAAGGACAATTTATTTTTCAATAGTGCAGTAACATTGATATGAAACTAATGTTGTATAATGATATAGATGTGTGTTATATGTGGATCGATTATACCTATCAAGATTAGGACAGTGGTAAGTAAGGCATATCTAAAACGGATTTAGCTGGGGTTATATATCGGGATGATTATCCTCGGCCCCTTTCCACATAGCGATCTTAGTGCGAAGACGATCGTAACTCCCATGCTTTCACATAGACTTAACACTGTTGTAGTGCTAAGACGATCGTAACTCCCATACTTTAACATAGGCTTAACACTGTTGTAGTGCTAAGACGATAGTAGCTCCCATACTTTACCATAGACTTAACACTGTTGTAGCACTAAGGCGATCGTAACTCCGATGCTTTCACATAGACTTAACACTGTTGTATTGCTAAGACGATCTTAACTCCTATATTTTAACATAGACTGACCACTGTTGTAGTGCTAAGACGATCGTAACTCCCATACTTTAACATAGGCTTAACACTGTTGTAGCACTAAGGCGATCGTAACTCCCATGCTTTAACATTGACGTATCACTGTTGTAGCACTAAGGCGATCGTAATTCCCATGCTTTAACACTGACGTAACACTGTTGTAGCACTAAGACGATCGTAACTCCCATGCTTTAACATTGACGTAACACTGTTGTAGCACTAAGACGATCGTAACTCCCGTGCTTTAACATTGACGTAACACTGTTGTAGCACTAAGACGATCGTAACTCCCATGCTTTAACATTGACGTAACACTGTTGTAGCACTAAGACGATCGTAACTCCCGTGCTTTCACATTGACGTAACACTGTTGTAGCACTAAGACGATCGTAACTCCCATGCTTTAACATTGACGTAACACTGTTGTAGCACTAAGACGATCGTAACTCCCATGCTTTAACATTGACGTAACACTGTTGTAGCACTAAGACGATCGTAACTCCCATGCTTTAACATTGACGTAACACTGTTGTAGCACTTAGACGATCGTAACTCCCATGCTTTAACATTGACGTAACACTGTTGTAGCACTAAGACGATCGTAACTCCCATGCTTTAACATTAACGTAACACTGTTGTAGCACTAAGACGATCGTAACTCCCATGCTTTAACATTGACGTAACATTGTTGCAGCACTAAGACGATCGTAACTCCCATGCTTTAACATTAACGTAACACTGTTGTAGCACTAAGACGATCGTAACTCCCATGCTTTAACATTGACGTAACACTGTTGTAGCACTAAGACTGGGTTGGAGAACACCCGTTTCTGGAGTTAAAAACAAGACTCAAAAACGTAAAATGCTTCGCGGAAAAACGCACGTGAAATCCGTGATTCGAAGTCCAGCTGTGGCTTCGAAATCCATGTACTAATCAGTCGAGCCTGGGTTGTCAAAAGGGCAACATATCCATTATTCCCGGTAAGGGA